GCTGTGTTCTGTGTTGGTTGTCAGTCTTTACCTGCGGTGTCCGGCAGTCTCTCGGAGATCTTCTCCTTCAGCTGGAGAACGGTCATTTTTTGCATCTGTTCCTCGGTGTTACACAGGTCAACGGTTATCCTCTGTCCTTTCAGACCGTTCACCAAAACCTGGTAGATTTTACCCATGATGAACCTGCTAATACGCACAGATGGTCCGGCGCTGACGGCGTTGAGGCGCAGGATGGAGCGGTTCTGGACGGCGTGAGGTTTAAGTCAAGTTTCACTTTCGACAGAAAGGATTAAACCATTTCTTCGGGTGCGTCAGCGGGGCGTTGTTCAAGAACTTTTAAAACCAACTGATCCTGGATGAAAAGTTTAAACATCGAGGCAGAGGCTGACGGACCTGACCCAGCACCGAACCATGACGGAGAAGAGATACGACCCCAGAGACACCACGCTGAAGTTCGTGAACAGACCTGATTCTCTGGATCCGTACCGTAAGAACCAGAACTCATCTTCAGACAACACGTCGTCAGTCCTGGAATCATTTTAGCTGTAAACGTTTAGCTGTTTGTGTCAGCGTTAGCATATCTGTGTTCACCTCTGTTATTGGTTGTTGTCGTTGTTGTCCTCAGCTGCAGACGAAGGGGACGAATGTCTCAGAGCAGAGATGTCCTGTGGACACGCCGTCACTCCCCAGTCTCTGACTGCCTGGTGTCGCAGCCTCCTGGATCAGGTTCCTGTCCACATGTGAACAAGAGACCGATCATAACACTGAGACAGAGTTTATAACTTTGTGATCTACTGTCTTCTTATTTCTGCTAGGTTTGATCAGCTTTTATCTGAAGTTAGCCGTCTTCATTTCTAGACTTAGATACAAACACCTCACAACTACTGTCATCTTAACTAATGTTCTAATGTTTACACTAACATCAATCTTTCTCCTTCACCTCCTAAGCTATATCTTGCTAACTTTTAGCTGTTTGAAACCAAACTGTGAATTCTCTCTCCTGTTTCACATCTGTTCTGTGTCTACAACTTCAGGGGAAGTTCCAATTTAAGTGTCCAGCATTGAAGGAAGGCACCGTGATGCTGTGCGATGCCCTGTGGTCGTACACGGAAGTGCGCAGGCTGGCAGTGCTGACCTCTGAGGAGATGGAGTATTTTGAGGGGAAGATGGCTCGTCTGGCGGCCGCTAAATACTTTGAAGTCAAAACGGTGAGTAGTTTGTTCTAGTATTATAACACAGGATTTAGAGCTGACCATTGGTTAGACTAGCCTTTAGCTTTTTCTGGCAGTTATCTTGTACATGGTATATTATAGTAGTAACTCTTTGTCTTTAAGGGGACAGTGGTGGGTTAGTGGTTCAGTAAGTGGACTTGGGTCCAGAAGGTTTCAGGTTCTAGTCCACCAGCTGCCAAGTTCCCACTGAGGTGCTCTGTCATGGCTCCGTCTCCACTCACTGCTCCCTGGTTCTTAAAGCTGCCACTGTTCACTGTGGTGATGGGTTAAAAACAGAGGTTTGGTTGTGTGCAGTGGTGAGCTGTGTCACACTGACAGGGAGTTCACTTTCCTTCCTTCCTTTAAAGGTTAGGGCGTATGTTGTCTTTGGGGTAAGGGGGTGATAATAGTTTTTACTAGTAGAATAGCTACTTTATTAACTTTATCAAGTGGTCGGAGGACAATTGGACTTTTATTATAATCATTATTTACATCCAGCTTTGAAATAACGTTTCACTTTCCTAACACTCAAGTGTCCCGGCTGTAAAACTGACGTGGAGCGTGAGGACCTGACCAACCTCAGCGTGGAGTGCACCATCTGCAAAGTGGAGAAGAAGGCCTCCTTCAACTTCTGCTGGCAGTGTCTGAATCAGTGGAAAGGCCGAGCCCCGCGCTCGGACCGCTGCGACAACGACGGCTGCGACAACCTCGATCTGAAGATTCTCAGGGACTGCAAGGACACCTCCCTGCCACAGGTCGAGGGAGTGGACAAGTGTCCCTCCATCAGGGCATGTCCCACTTGTGGCCAGCGGGTGGAGCACGACAGAACCGGCTGCAAGAACATCATCTGTCCCCGCTGCAGTGTGGAGTTCTGCTTCGTGTGTCTGAAGGTCACGCCCGAGTGTCTGAAGAGCAGCACACACTTCGTCGCCTGCAGCGCCGGAGTGGCTCCGAGACAAACCTCCATTCCTGTGTGGCACAAAAAGTGAAATTTAAAAATGTATGTTTGAAATGTTCTTGGTTTCAGAAAGCGTCCACAGTTTTATCAGTTGTAATTTCACTGCCTCACCTCCTTCTGTCTGTCACTGATTTATCTCTCTCTTCCAACATCCTAAAAGAAAAATGTTTTTCATGCTCAAAGTTCACTTAACAATATTTGTGAAAAAGTAAAGATTTTCTATAAAACATGAACTGTGTGTGAATTTCATGTGTGGGAAATGGTAACATTTTTATAAATCATTTTTGGCTAACTTAACTGTAAAACAATGTTTTTAATGTCTAATACAGTGTTTGAGTTTTATCCGTTCTAATACAATGTTTGAGTTTTATCCGTTCAACAACAACTCGTGTCTCGATTCTATCGTTTATAGATTGAATTTTCCCCATTAAAAATAACTAAAAAGCCAATGAATTCATTCCAGACCCCCAGAAATATTAATTATTAAATTAAAATCCCCATCTAAACATCAAAAACACAGCTACATACAAATATATTGATAATATAAAATATTAAGAATTAAGAGACCATTTTATATTATTGTTAGTAAAATGGCTAACGCAGAGTGGCGTTGTCTCAGAGTGGGTGGACAAATTGAGATGTTTCCTCGTATCACGGGGAAAATCTTGCAAAAGTAACTTGTATCTTGAAACCCCACTGTACTCTTTTCTATAATATCACACTGCACTTTTTGCTGGAGGTTAGCATTTTGTGTGCCATCCTTTAGTCCATTGTTCAGTGAACTATGTTTCATTTAAAATGATTGTATCTTAATAAATGATTCTTTTAGCTGACGTTTATAATTTGTCCTACTTAAGCTGTTTGTGGTTTGGTTTTGTTTTCTTGGAGACGTCTCACAGAGACAACCGTGAACCTACGACTGCACAGAGTTCAAGTTTCACCAGCCATATTCCTCAGGTTCCATTTTCAACACCAGCAGTCATGTTTCATTTTTTGTGGTCAACTTGAACCAGAATCTTTGCCAACTGTTGTTGTTGTCACTCAACTCTTGCGTGGAAACCACCTGACACTCCTGCATCACAGCGTTTCTCATACATGTGTTTTTGTGTTGTGCTTATTAAATCAGAAGGGACTTTCTGACCCCGCCTCGTGTGGTCACATGACTTCTTGTAAGTGTGCTGCAAAAAGAAAGAACCTCAGCTTGGCTCAGGCACAGCGGCGTCATGCTGATCTTTGATTGGATGTTAATTCATGAGCCAAAATAGTCTGATTTAGGAGAACTGGACCATGAGTGTTACACTGACACATGTGGGGCAGGGGTCAGAGCAGGGTCAAGACAAACAGGTTTCAAAACTCTGGTTTTATTTTATATATTTATATGAAAACATCGCCACTTTGTAGTTCAAGGTAACTAGTGCTAGTGTTCTTATGAATGCTGTTATTGAAAAATATTAATGTGTTCATCATCTGATAAGATCAACAAGGCTTGTCAACGCTCAGTGGAATAAACTGGTTCGTTCCAGTTCATACAAACACACAGGAACAATCGCGTGACCAGAGAATAGTTTTGGTGCCAACGTGTGGTTTGCAGGTGAAACGTGGGCCTGCGTTTTCCCTGCTGCTAACACACAGGGTTAGAAATCCCTGTGTCTATCTGGGGAACCAAGGTCAACAGGGGTCAGAGCTGAGTCTGAAGGAGGACATCCAACACAGATGTGAGGATAGGGTCAACCTCATGGTGGTGCTAAAGAGCAGCTTGCAGTGATGGATAAAAACTATCCACTATTTCCACGGTTTGACCTTTGACTTCTCCTTCCTGTGATGTCTCCTCCTCTCACTTGCGGTCATGGCTGGAAGAAGTTTCTCACCATTGGCCTTTGGTTTTCTGTGCAGGCTGGGTGAGAGGTGACACTTGGTGAGTCCATTTGAAGGAGGAGAACCTTTGCTCTTAGCTCCTTGCAGGTTCTTCTCTGCTTGTATTTGACTTTTGGACTGACACTTAGATGTCCCGTCTGTCATTTGTTGCCTGTCATTTTTGTCTGTACACATCATGTCCCAGCAAACATCACTAGGCTTTAGTCGGTCCTGTGCAGAAAGGTGGTTTTGTACTGGAGCACTGTTGTCAACGTGTTCTTCATAAACAGACCGCTGTCTGGGCCGGTCTACATCCATGTGGTCCAGGTCTCCTTCTGTTTGAAGCTCTGTGTCCACTTCTGCTGATGGGTCACCACTGCCACCAAACACGTCCTTCAGGTCTAGTGCAGCTCCTGGTCCTTCCCCCTCCCCAGCATCTTCAGAGAATGTTCTGTCTTTAACCACAAAGACATCAACGTTTTTCTGATGGACAACATCAAAGAATGTCTTTATTTTAAAAAGTCTCTGGGATGAGCGGAGGTGACCTTTGAACTCACCTGCTCTGTACATGAGGAGATAAGCTGACTCTGACCTGATCACACACAAAACCAACACCACTTATTAACATTCACACTAAAATCAACGGAACAAAGTTGCTTTGGATTTTTGATCAAAGCTTCTTCAACCTCCTTGTCTATATTTTTGAAGAATTCCCAACAATTGTTGAAGTATATTTCAGTTCCACTGTTAACTGTATTTGCTTCAGTAGAAAATAATCAACATTTCAGGGTAATGGTTCTAATGAGCTTTTAGATGGTTATAAATTTAAAAAAAAAAAATCACTATTTGCTTCAGTAGAAAAGAATCAACATTTCAGGGTAATGGTTTTAATGAGCTTTTAGATGGTTATAAAATATTTTTAAAAAAACAAAAAAACAGTTCATTATATTTATTTCGATTTTTAACTATTTTTAGTAGATAGTAGTATTTTTTTAGGGTTTTTTGGGGGGGGATTTGCATGATATCTTGGGTAAATTTAGCTTTAGCTAACAGTTAGCTAATTGGTCTGATTGCCTAAAGGCATTGGCTCTCTTTATGTAGAGGTTTTCTTTGTGTTAAACAGGTTAACACTCAGTCCACCGAGGAAAACGTCTTTTTGTTCTGAGGACAATCTCTCCAGTTAGCATCTCTTTAGTTTTACAACACTGACCTCAGAGTGGCCTTTTCACAATCAAAGAGGGGCTTCTGGACCTGAACAGGTGAAAAGGACAAGACGTCAACAAGGAAGATGAGAATAAACACAACAAAGAAGACGTTGAAAATTATAGACAGAAAACAAGGAGAAAAAAGAGGCCATAAAAAAAAGGACAAGCAGAGAGGAAGGAGATGAGCAAGAAAAAGACAAAGAAGAAGAAGAAAATAGAGGAATTAAGGAAAGACAACAAAGACAGAGAAGAAGACAAAGACAAGGAAGAAGAAGAAGATGTTATGGATGAAAAGGAGAAGAGGAAGAGGAGGAAGACAAACAATAATAAAACGAAGAAGGCAGCGATCGGCTCACCTTCTCCACGATGTTATCGTTGAAACAGTACCACTCCCCAGTTTCAAAGGACTGGACCTGTGAAGTGTAGTGTCCTCCAGTCAGGGAACCATAGTGGTGGACTAGGGCGTACAGCTGGTACCTACGGTTCTAGAAGGAACAGAGAGGAAAGAACAGACACACCATATTTTCAAAATATTTCATTTTAATGGCATTCAGCACAGAAAATGAGACACGGACATATGAAGTACCCCCATCAGGAGGGTTGCCGGTATATCCACACTGCAGTGAAGCTTGACGAAGCAGCTGGACCTGTAGTCGAAGGTGAATCTCTTCAGCAGCAGTGTGAGAATCTGAGGTTGTTGTGTCACCGCACAGCCCTGCATCCAACCACAGAAGACCACAGATGCCATCACACCCTCACATGCTGGGATTTCACAGCTAACTTTTTAGATATTTCTAAGCTAACGCAAGACTATCTTCCCTCAATTCTTGCAAAGTTTTAGTTAGCTGTGGTAACATTTAGGTCTTTGTTGGGCAGAGAATTTGAAACACTTATTTTGCTAACATCACTCGATGATGACGATGTTGACTCACAATGATGGCGTCCTTCTTGCTGCTGCAGTGGTTGCAGTACATCTTATTTTCCCCGCAGACCGTCTCCTCCCTGAAGAACGACCTTAGGCCTCTGTCCTGAAAATACGTGGACTGAACTTTATTGGCTGTTTGTTGACAGCTGTGTTTATGGAGACAACCAGAAGTGATACCAACCACACTGTAGGTGTGAGGAGACGACTTTTTCACAGCCAGAGGTAGAATCCAGAAATAGTTCCTGGTGTGGTTCCACTTCTTACACGTGAGGCAGGTGATTTTGTGTTGGAGCTCACCTTTAAATATCTAGAGGAAAAAGTAAGCAGCTCAGTGAAAGGAGAGAAGGACAGCTTAGAGTTACTGCTGGTTACCTACTGTAAAGCAGGATTATTATGATCAGAGATAAGAGAAAGTGAATTATTGTCAAAGACTGACACAGCACGCAACAAAATGTGACCTCTGCCTTTAACCCATAAGATAAGTCATTTATCCATTGCACACTGGGTCAATTCACATAGACCTAACTGGAACATTAGTATGAAAAACAATTCAGTACACTTCCTAAAAATATAATATAAGATTTATTTTTTTCTATTTCGTTGGTTTAACTTTATTTCAATTAGTTAAATTAAAGTTGATTAAAGACTGGGGCTCGATGTAAAAGGTGTACCCCAGGTATAACAGGAGTGTCATCCGCAAAAAGAGAGATCAATACCACCGATGACCTTCTGGAAAAGAAAAAAAAAAAAAAAAAAGATTCTAACCTTGGAGGCCTCTGGACTGGTCAGATACAGAATCCTCTCAAAGTACTCTGCAGCATCACGCTGCTCTAATACTGTGGGAGACACAGTGGGAACAGGTCAGTCCACACTCCTGCAGACTTGAAGAGAGACGGACTGAGCCGGGATTTGAACTGACCATCAACGATGCCCAGAGTTGTTGTGACTTGATGTGTTGTGGCCAAACTTCTCTCCAGGTCACTGAACAGTGTATACAGGAGGCCGTCCATGGTTGTGTGCTCTTTGCTGTAGCATCTGTGACACAGGTACAGTCTTACTGTTTAGTTAACTGCTGCCTGTCTTTATAACTCGTTCCATTCTGAATAAACACTCAGCAGTATTTGACCATGTAATACTATACTTTAAGGATAAGTACTTTTAGCTTATCGGTTTCTGGAGTATTTGTTTAGACGGCTGCTTATTTCATTAACCTGTTATAATAAAAGACAATTATCTGCTGGTTACTTTGTATCACTTTCTATTTTGTATTGCCATTCACTGACTTTATCTTTCGGCTTTACTTTAAGTATTTTACAGAATATAAATCATGTATATGCTTGAATGTATTTCTCTTGCTCTTCTAAAATGCTCCTGAAGGAGCAACTGTAACAGCAACCATTTCCCCCGGTGAGAAACAAAGTATTTCTGATTCTGACAATTGTAGGCTCTTGTGCTGAACTTTCTATCCCTTTTCACTGACCAGCTTGTTTCTCATGGGTAAACAATCACCTTGGTTAACAATTTTTATTTATACATTATATAACCTGAAGCCATTTCTGAGCAAATATTACCTGCGTAGTTTCAGGGACAGCTATCTTCTCCTGCTGCTCAGTAGCCCCACTGCTAAGCTAACAGCATCATATTTATTATTCTGTCCAGGTCTTTAGATGGAATCCTCCATCATTAGTACAAGGTAGACATGATGTATGTATTTCCTTTTATTAAACAATGCTAGCTTATGCTAAGACAACAAGTGGCTAGATCCAGTTTCACAGTTTGTTGTCACAAGAACAACTGTCATTCCAAACCTGTTGACGGCCCTCCTGAAGTCCTCCGTCATAAAAAACACCTGAAGAATGCTGTTCAAGTAACAAGTTAGACCAGGACTTTCTAGGCCGTGGTAATCTAAGACAAATAACATTCATATCAGTCGTGGAAAAAAAACCACATCAAATCTTGTTTATGGCAATATGTTCTGCTGACCTACCAGAAACGTTGATGTTGTCAAGTCTCTCTCTGAGCGCTTTTACACACTCCTGGTTTATACTGTTGTCCTTCATACCAGACTGCTGCTGCTGCCGCTCGACGCTTCAAGCAGACGACTTCTTTTCTTCACGTGCACTAATTCAGCCTGAGGAAGTCAGTATGACCTCATGTCAGTACAGAGACATGGTTAACAAATGTGTATTTTAAACTTTCGTAACATCTGTACAACTTTACTAAGGAAGTAAGTTTACTAAATAGTAAGGTTAAAGTAAACTAATTTGATTTAATTCCTCCTTGTGTTTTTTACAGTGAAACTGCCAAGCGGCGACTTTAAAAAGACATTCTGATAAAACTGGAAAGTAATTCAGGGGGAAACAACATGACGTACTGTATGTATTAAAATTCTTAAGTGAGTATTTCATATAATGAAAGACCAAAAGCAAAAGGTGTTTGGAACCAACCCCTGCTGGCTAGAAGTGACACTGCAGCCAAAATGGCACGTCGGGAAGCTTCATAATAACACACAGAGAGGACGTCCTATTTTTACATACAGTTTATTAATGACTTACATTTGCACTTTTAAAGTTGAAACTGTAAACAGTTACAAACACGGACTGTTTCCCGACATAACTTCTAAATGCGTCTCTTTACGTAGCTGTCCCTGCAGTAGCTGAATTAAGGACTAGGACGGTTGGACGGTTTATTTCCACATCATCTTTGGTTTTTTAAAACTATGGTTACATTGGGGTTTGGTCTGACGACCTACGGCGTTTAACAAAAGCTACGTAATGCAGGTAAAGTACCAAAGAGCCCGTTAAGGTCCACTTTGTAAACAAACTATGGGTTAAAATGTGAGGGTGTCATAAACTCACCAACCGACTCCCTCGCTGTGTTCATGCTTTATAAGTAGGAGAAAAGCTTTCGATTTCAACACAGCAGCAGCAGCAGAGAGGCAAGCAGCAAAGACCAGCGACAGAAGAGACAGAAGAGACAGACGAGACAGAAGAGACAGACGGACGTCGTACCGAAAACTCGCTGGAGTTAAAACACCATTATTCACCAGTGTACACGCGGATGTTGTTGCTTGAGATCCAGTGCTTCCTGTTGAAAATTTTCAAAACAAATATTAATATTTGAAACCACATACAGAAGAAGAAAAATACAACAACGGTCACTCGAAGGTAAGATTTTCATTTTATTTCCTTATTGTTTAAAGTTTGACTTTTTTTTTCGTCGTAGTTCTTTACGAATTATCCTGGTAGAAACATTAGGTTTCTGCACTTCTGCCCCCTAGGGCCTGCAACGGACACTGCATACATTTTCCCTGGAGTTAATTTTCTGACATTATGATCGAATTAATATACAACAACAATAAGAAGAAGAAGAATCATAACAATGATTATCATTATAAGAAGAACATTGATGTTGTAAATCTTATCAAATTCTAAAGCATTTATTAAACGTGACCTTGACCTGTTGATCTCTTTTATGTTTGGTGTTTTCCTGTAACTGGGTGGAAAATTCCCTGCGTGTTATCTCTGTGAATCAAGTTTAAAGATCACTGCACTGTAATGTCTGCAGTCACTGACTGCTGTCTATCACATTTACACATTTACACACACGTCAGTACTCTCTACAGCGACGGTAAAAACTACGGTCTGTAGTTTGGTTAGAGTACGTAAACTTTTTTAACAGCTGAAAGACAAATATTTTTGGTTTTTCACTGTATATTAGGAGCATCCAAATACATTTGAACTGTTTTTCTAACTGCCACATGTCATTTTGTCTTCATACTGCAGATGATTTCAAGGTTCAAAACGTTTCGTAAACGGGTGAAGAAGTATGACCCCAGAGATCTGACCATGACATTCGTGGACCGACAAGACGACCTGGATCCACACAGTAAGACATTCTCCGAAACGTGTTTGGTGAAATCAGAGAACGATGACGAGTATGAAGAAGATGATGACGGTGCGAGTGAGGGTTTGATGTTTTGTGTGTGTGTTCTGGTGCACCTGCAGGTGACTCGGGGTCCCTCAGAGCACTGTTGCCTTGTGGTCACGCTGTGACCCCTGAAACTCTGTTCCAGTGGTGTCGTACCCAGCTGGAGGAGGTATCTATGGGTATACTGAAGGGACAATCCAGTGAATTTAGTTGTTTGTTTTTTTTCATGTTATTGATATTATTGACTTTTGACCTCATACAGTACTTTTGTAATTTCATAAATTCAACTCTCAATTTCAAATCTTTAAAATGACTCAATTTTGTACACCCAACGGCGCCTCCTGTGGCTGCCTGTGTGAGTTGCAAACTGGATTTTTCTCATAATCACAACTTTGAATTTATTTATTTAATTTATAAAAGTATGAAAGTTAATATTCAAATGTCTTTTTCCCTCATATCCCTTTTTGTCTCTTCAGTTTTGAGTAATTTGACTACTACTACTTGACTACTTTTTACTATTTCTTTTTCAGTCATTAGGGGATCTACATATTCACCTGCCCTGCGTTGGTGAAGGGCACCCAAAAGTGCAACAAGACGTTGCCATACACAGAAGTACGACGACTAGCTGATTTGTCTCCAGAGGAGATGCAGTATTTTGAGGAGAACATGGCTTACAAAGCTCTGGAAAAAATCTGTGAATTTCAAGCAGTAGGTGGCACCAGACTCTTCTGATCTCACTGTCCTGTCTCTTATTCAGAGCAGCAGAGGAATGTCCAGTGGACTTTTTTGACTGTGGCCAGTTACTAGTGTTCCCTCTTAGCTAATTGACAGCATTAGCTAATACTTCGCCCATTTGTTACTACTACGGGGTAACTAGTACTGGTTACTTGTAGTTAGTTACTTTTCGAAAACTGTTAATCACACTTTTCATCATTTTGCACATTGGAAAAAACAGAAAAGAATGACTTGAAATAGCTCATGGTTAGCTAATAAATCACAAATGATAAAGCCAAATCAGCTCCATGTTAACAAATAGTTTGCATGAATTGGTGACAAAGCACAGACTGCCTCAGTGGTGGATGCTCCTCTCACACCAATCTGTCTCTCTGTCTATCACCAGTGTCCTCGGTGTAAAACCACCGTGGAGAGGCAGGACTTGTCCAACCTCTGTGTCCAGTGCAGCATCTGCACTGTAAACCAGGGCAGTGTCTTCCATTTCTGTTGGCAGTGCCTGCGGCCCTGGAGAGGCAGCGCCCCCCGAAGTGACCGGTGCCTTTACAAAGGTTGTGGCAACAAAGACGTGCTGCTCCTGCAGACCTGCAAGACCATTGATCTGCCGCAGGTGAAGGGCGCCACCTGCTGCCCGTCAATCCGAGCCTGTCCTACTTGTGGCCTGAAGGTGGAGCACAACCAGATGAACTGCAAAAACGTTAAATGCCCACGCTGCCACCTTAATTTCTGCTTCATATGCCTCAAGAGCAAGAGTGAATGCTCCAAAACAACCACACCTTTTCAGATGTGTTCCACAGGCGTGGCCCCGAGGCAGACCGCCATCCCCACGTGGCACAGAAGATGAAAAGGCAAAAAGCCTTGATGTTGGCCCAGGGGGAAACGATTGGTTAGATCAGGGGACATCTCCATGTCTCTGTCTGCTCTCTTCTTCAGTGCTGTCTCCATCAGAGAACTCTTCACCGTAGAATTCTGGAGGATGACCTTTGACACCAGGACATAACCTGCTTCTCTTGTCTGGTCTAAGGACTGAATCCACTTCCTTTGAATGTTCTCTCAGTTGTGATGTTTGCTGTGATTTCAATAGATTGTTCATTTTTTTAATAGAATGGGGATCAGCTGCTCATTATCACCAGACGCCTGCACAAATGATGAAACATGTCTCTGAGGACTTTCTGTCTTGATCATATGTAAAGTTACTGAAACTAAGTTCTATTTCATCTGAGGGAGTTACTGTTTTTGTTTTTATTCTTTTCTGCTTTATACTCTTTGGGGGGTATTTTGTAAAATTGGTGCTTTTAATCAGTAATTAAATAAAATTTTCAGTAAAAAGAATGTGTGTGTGTGTTTTCATGTATGTGATTTAGACACTTTAATTGAATTTAATGAAAAACTGTAAAACTGTAGGTGGCAGTATAGAACAGAGGTGTGAAACATTTGACACGTGGTCCAAAACCGGCCTGCTAGGGGGTTCAGTGTGACCCACTGGGTAAATGAACATGTTTATCTGGTTACTAGCCAAATGTGAGCCAAATGTTACGTAACACCATGTTTGTCTATGCCTATAAAAAGGATCAGCATGTATCAGGAGGTGGGATTTGTTGGTGAATGTTCAGAGGAGATTTGTTGTTGGACCTGCCACGGTCAGAAACCTTTAATACAATAAATCCCCTGAGACGGGAAGGCCCTAGTCGGTCTGCCTCATCTGGAGACATCTCTTTCTACAGTAGCAGCAGTATAACCACTGACACCATGGTAGGATTTGTCAGAGGTGTAGACCAGGTCCCGCCCTGGACCGGACTGGAAGCAGAAAAGCTTGATTACACAAAGCTAACAGTTACATAACTTTAAGCTCTAGAGTTCATGTTTATGGGTTTTGTTTATGTGTAATTCCACTGTCCTAATATCCCAATGTTTTATTTTTTTAAAAGAAGGCCCTAGTGATGATGAAGCCACAGCCTCCAGTGGAAGACCAAACATCTAGAGACACAAGTCAATAAACTAATATAGAGATTACAGGCTAACATTTAGCTGACCTTGTGTGAGAAGCAGTATCTTCGTCATCACTTGGTGGAGTAACGTCGGGGTAAAGACACAACCTTCTGTCTGGACAGAAAACTACACCCTGGTATCCACTTATCTGAGGGATAGAGCCGCGAAGCTAAAGATTAGCCAAAGAGAAATCCTGAAAATATCTAAAAGTTTGGACAAGAGCGAGTCCATACCATAAAAAAAATAGGCAAAACATTCAGAGTAAAGTTGGGTCAGAAAAAACAAACACTGTTTGGGTAAAGTTAAAATAGCTAACTGACCGTACATATTAGCTATGAGAATAGCCAAAAGAAATCTAAATGTTAGCTAGTCACTAAAGTACAGCAAAGACAATCCAAATATACAATAAAAACAAGGTAATAACATAAATAAGTAATTTATAGTAGAATATTTATATCTAAATTCTGAATCACACATGAAGTAGAATATTTAATTAAAGTTAAAATTGAAGTTAGGTGTTAAGTTAGGAAGTAAATGAAGCAATAAATATGGCAAAAGTACTAGCCAAAAGTAGTGACCTGAACAGTGCCTCCTGCTGGACAGTCCACCCAGTCAGATCCAGACACCTGGATCTGGTAGCTGTTGGGTCCGGTACACCTGTGTCTGTAGCACTGACCTCCAACAGAGCTGCTGTCCACAGGAAAGTGTGTCTAAATGTTAAAACAAACTACTGTCAGACATTCAGAGTCTCTGGATGACAAAAAAGTTTTTCTTCAACTGAGCTTCATCATCATCATCGTCATCAGTATCTGAGGATTCATCTTAGAACTTACTGTTCTGACCAGGTTCTAAGTGTAAAGGAAACAGAGTTGGACAAGGACAAACTCACATGTCTGCTGAGGTTAGAGAAGAAACAACGACTGTCCCGGCCCCAGACCTCCACCCTCAGCTTGTCTCCAGGTGATCGCACAGAGTTTTCCTTTTTCCAACATTCACTCTGTCAGAAAAAAGGAGAAATGAGTGAGTCTGGGAATTCAACGACAGGCCGGAAACTCAGGTAGGGTTGAAAATTAGAGTAAAGCTTTAATAGTATTTCTAATTACCAGAACAAATAAACTTGTTAATATTTAGGAATTGAGTTGATTAAAAAAAAAGAAATTAAACTGAGATTGTAAAATTACTAGAACAAAATGTTGGGTTTTTTTTTTCTTGTAAATGTTTGACCTTTTACTGACCTTTCACAATTGTGATTGTATAATCACACTTGTATCCTCTTCATTTTATCTAATCTTAATCATAATCCCATTCTCATAATTCCCATATTTTTCTCCTCTAATGTACAAAAATATAAATAAAAGAGTAAAACAAAAATCTCCCTGTTTTAGGATTTCATCAAACTCACAGTAAAAGAGATCAAGTTCAACTTACTGCATTTTTGAGAGGTTTATAAATCCGACATCCCTCCAGGTATGGATCAGTTTGGCACTCCCCCTTGTGGAGATGTAGAAAATGACATCCAAGCCCACTGTTGCAGGGAGGTATAACGCCACCATGAGAGAATGTAGGGTAATAAACCCAGATAAGTGTGTTTATTACAGTCGTAAAAGAAAACGTTTCACCTGCCGCTGCAGAAAAAGGCCGACGTTCTGTTCTGGCAGCTGGACACGGAGCCAAACTGGGCTCCTTCACCTAGAACACACTTTATTACTGGGTTGGATTTTAATTTGGATTATTGGAACAACAGAAACAAAAATAGACAGGATGTCAAATATACCAAATAAATAATGTAAAAAAAAAACAATGTTAACTATGAAATAAATGATCAACAAGCAAACTTAGCTAACAGTTAATATATTATTAACAGAAGTCAAATTTAGACAAGATAGCCGGGAACGGGCTAAGTGCTAACAGGAAGTTGTCTAAAAGTCAGTGAAGAGCAAAACAGCAAATAAAACCGTAAAAGAAAAGTTGGACCAGAAAACCGCCAAAGGTTAGCAACAACCACAAAGCAAAAATAAGTAAAAGATGACCCAAATGATAACTCAGTGTTTACGAAGTGATACGCTGACACAGCAGCTAAAAGACAGACAACAATTAGCTGATCTAGATTTCCTTAAAATCATCTAAACCCTGTCAGGAACAACATTGGATTTCCTGTCTTCAAGAGCCTGACCTTGACCCCAGACCAGATTCTGGGCCCGGCCCAGATCCACAGAGTACCAGCCCGTGTCTTGGAACGCAGCTAAAGTCAACGGATCGATGCGGACCGTGCTGGACTCCTCCAGAACTGCAGTCATGATGGAGCCCTGAAGGAGGAGGGCTTCCCAGTGAGAGGAGCCTCTGCCTGGAGATACGTGCTGATGGAACAAGCGCAGAAGTTTGGTTCAAAAAGAAAGTTTTAGTTAAGTCTTTGTGAGTCATTGAAACTGGATCAGTACCAGGTTCTCCAGCAGTCCTCCCAGCTCAGGCTCAGAAGATCTCAGATGTTTCTGCAGGACTGAGATGACCGACGGAGAGAAGATCCTCAGCTGTCCCGATCCATCAGGTCTAACCACGGTCTTCTGAGGGGAACATTTAGCACCCCCTGCAGGACAACACACAGAAATGCAAAGAGTAGTGAGTCTTTGTTCTGCTAACTGTAATCAGTTCTGGTCATAGTTTCATGCATTTTTGTGCTACTTTTAGCAGTAATTCAGACATTAGTTTTGGTGTAACATCTAGCTATATTTTCCATAACTTTTTTTCTAGTTCTTAACCACTTATTGAACAACTTTTGCCTCCCGAGCAAAGATCATTAGCTAACAGCCAAGTGGAGATTTTGTTAAGATTGAGATTTTGTGTCCAAAAGGCAAACAACCACAAATATTAAATTGGTTTAAAAAATAAAATAAAATAAATAACCGTGAGTGTGGGTGGAACAGTCTGTCCAGGTGGGAAACAGGTCTTTGGAGAAGCCCAGAACATGAAACAGCTCATGAATCACCATCTGGAGAAAAAACAAAAACAAACAAAACTTTAAAATAACTTTATGAATAACTCATACTAGAAACATTGTTCTAGAAAACAGTACCTGGACTGTTGCCTGGTGTTTGTACGTCTGCTGGGTCAGTCTGTCCCTGCAGATGACAACCACCGCAGCCACTGGACGTCCATCAGTGTCTGTCTGACAGTGGGCAGCGTAGGCCCACACGTCAGGCTGAGGACGGGAATTAAACCGTCAGTCAGTGGTTGCTGTAACCAGTTTTGTCAAATGGCCAACAGACATTTTTTTAATAACTTAGAGTACACATGTAAAAATAAAAAAAAAATACAAGATGATGACTGAGCAGGAGCTGAAGTCTTAGAAATCTAATGAAGCTATTCATGCTAAAGGAGCTAATAAATAAATCCCAATCAGAAATACTTCACCTCGGCTCTGCACTTGTGGGTGGAGCCTATATGCAAGTAGAGCAGGAAGTCGGTGTCACTGACTCCGGAACCTTCAGCTCTGAGAACAGTTCTGTAGGGTGAATCAGGCTGTGGATAAATGTAACAACCAGACAGGTGTTGGTCTGGGATCTGCCCAGACAACCAACCAACCAACCAACCAACCAACCAACCAGTCAACCAACCAGTCAACCAACCAACCAGTCAACCAAACAAACACAAACAGAAAGGGCTTCAGATTCTATTTTTTTGAGGAAATCTCGATGACTGACGATGCTGATGACGCTGTGATTTACCGTCACATCCAGGCAGGTTTCATTCCTGTAGTTGACGTTGGCTCGACCACACCTGGAGATAAACATTAGTTGAAGACATTTCTGCTCCGGTTTTTCAGGCGTAGAGTACGACACCACCCACCTGTTGGAGTTAGCGCCTCCCGAGTTGCTCCATACGAACTTGCAGTATTTGCTAATGTCTCTGCTGAGCAGCAACGGACCCACAATCCTAGGAACTAAAAAGAATTGACAAGCGTTAGCATCTGGTTAAGTTATTTGGCTCTTTTTTTAGATACAAATGTTTTGCGTGAATACCTGTGTTAACGGTTTCAGCACAACTCTTCAGAAGAGTTCTGAAGATGGCAGAAGCCGAACATAAGTGTTCACGTAAACATTCTTATCTATGAAAAAGAATCAAATAACTAAATGTTGAATTAGTAGACCAAATGAACCTTTACACCATGTTAGCATGGTTAGCATGGTTAGTAGTTAGCAGCAGAGTGTGAGAGTGTGTCTTCACGTGGCTCATGAAGACAGTCAGACACCACTGACTGTTGACTGTGACACAGTGTCTTCTGCTCTGACCTGACAGCAGAGAAGACACCTTGTTGACTGTTGACTCTGACCTGACAGCAGAGAAGACACCTTGTCCACCCCCTCCTCCACCGCCATCATCACTCGTCTTCTCTCAGCCTCTGGTAGGTTGTCACTCTCTCTGGTGATCCAGGTGTGGATCCTTATTGGCTGTGGAGATGCCCCGACTCTGGGGTTTGTTTCTAATCGTTGAGAGTAAAACCCACGACCCTGTGAGGTTGCAGGTTCTAGTCTGACTTTTCTGACCTCAGCCTGGACTTCATCATAGATGCACTTCTGCAGGACCCCAGGAATCTGATCCATTAGCACAGGCAGCACGCAGACCACTGTCAGCCATGGTCTGAAAGGTGGAGGTAGAGCCATAGCTACAGCTGGAGGAAATCAACATTTTCAGTTCTCTTTCAGTGACAACAAAAAAGGGTTAGAAATACAACAGCACAAACAGATAGAGAAAACAGTTGTCTTTCAACTAACGTGGACATGACTACTGTAAACATTAGCTAAGGAAATGTCATAAACAAATCTGAAAAATAAAGCCAAAAAACGACCTACATTTATGCCAGAACATTAGCCAAATTAGCTAGTTTTAGCTACAATTAACAAAGGAAGAGCTCGATGTTAGACAAGAAGAAAACTGACATGAAAATATCTGCTTCCAATAATGAACTGAGTTACCTCAAAGGTCACAGCAGTGACGGCTCTATCTCTGTCACAGCTTCAGATCTGTGACATCACCTTTAACCTTCAGTGGGCGTAGCACCTCTGTCCAGATCAAACCAATGAGAGAGAGAGAGAGAGTTTCTACTGTTTGAATACAGAGGACAGAGCTGCGACATCTTCACCTGTTACTGAGGCGTCAGACACACTGTTCACCAAACTCAACCAAAACCAAGAAACAAAGACATCCAACCAAAACAAATGTTTCTTCCTGCCACAATCAGACAAGGAACTTACAAATGTAAAGCCAACTTCAAAACAAACTACATTTATAAAATAACAAATTTGAATTTCAATAAAAGCTTAATGCAAATGACCTGTTAGATCTAAACTTCACCTAAATCAAAAGTGGATAAAGTTAGCTGGAAGTAATCAAAGTAATAATCTATAAGAAGCTTACATTATCCTTGAGGCAAAGTGTTAGCTCAGAAGAACATCGTGAGATGAAAGATAACCAAAGGAAAGGGTTAAAATCAGGTTAAAAATAAATAAATAAAAAGGTAAAAAAATTGCCCCAAACATGGGATTAACTTTAATGACCTTGAACGGAAGACAACGACACAGAAGATAAAAGTGCAAATTCTTTAATCTCTGCCACAATGTTTATTCTATTTACAGTGAAATTGACCCTAAAGATAAATCATTAAATCACTTTCTCTCTTTATTTTCGCTCGAATCTTTAGTTTTAGTCCAAACTGGTACATTCATCGAAGCTAAGAGCAGGAAACAAACACAACTTAAACAGCAGAGAAAAAACAGGAGGATAAACTAAAAACAGCAAAACAAAAGAAACAAGAACTCTGTTGTGGTTGAACTGATTGTGACCCTGCAGGGCCTGGAAGTTTCAAGTTTATTTATCGGTAGTTAAATTAATTAGCCCCGCCCTGCTTTGTAAATGAGGGGCTTCTTATCAATCAATCTGCACACACCTCATACACACTAAAATCAGGCACCAAAGAGATTGTCTTTTGTCACCTCTGCTTCTTTAAACGACTAACAGTGCAGTGTAAAAGTCTTGATCCAGCCTCGTTATCTTTATCTTCTTTTAGCTCAAAGAAGCTAACACTCCACAGCAAATATTCTTTCATCTTCATCAAGTCGTTAGGAAGCCGATCGATGATCGTTGTCATGTTTTTGTTGCTTAGTTTGTGGACAAAACAAGAACAAAAACTAGGGGAGACCAACGTTTTAACACTATAAAAACTGTTGTGTTTTCAGTTTATGGCAACGTAAAAGTGTTGGTGAAAAAAAAACATGCCTCTGTTTGTCTTTTTCACCTCACGTAAAACCTATATAAAACCTTACAAAGGCACTTAATTAGTGGGTGAATTTTTTTAATATCAATTTTGTTTTACTTTTACAAACCCCCATTTTCAGAAAAGACATTTTCAGAACTCTAGCACCAGGCTAACTCCTTTAACCTGTCACATGCTTTCTTCAGTGACTGGTCCACATTGTCTGCTCCTCTTCATGTTGCTCCACACATTTTCAAGCTGCACGGACCCCTAGTGGTATGCACAGGCATTGTAGGTTTAAATGCTTGTTTAAACCTTAAAATATATTTACCTGTATCTACACATAATTTTGAATTCCAATGTTTTTGTTTTTCAATTTGCCAAATATAATAGCTTCTTATATGATTTATATGGTGCTGTGGTGAGTTTCGTTCGTTTTAATAAGTGCGTTTTTTAAATTCATTCATAAACATAAAACTACTTGGTGGAAAAGAACATGTCCGCGACCTCTAGTGGGAATGGTGTGAGCGGTCATTCACTTGGCCAGGCTACTATTGGACGATCAGTGACCAATCACACTCCCCCTTCTCATCCTTTCTCAAACACTGATTGGTTATAGATCAGGAGAGAAGGTCAGTGGTCTATGGTGACAGATAATGAGCAGTGCAGCCGAACTGGTTCTGTGTTTCACAGTAACCTGACGCAATCCTACAGTCAAGACTTTTCTGAATATGAGGTTTTGTAAGTGCAACGGCAAGTCAAAAAGTTCTAAGACATAAACAAAGATTTTTTTTTCGGGTATAGAAATATAATTTCCTCCATGTCAGTCTAGAATCTTTTTTTGTGGTGTTTCCATCAGTGAATTCCTTTAAATGCTTGATTTTTGATAAAGATGTTAGAGACACAGAGACCGGTCTGAACTGGTTCTAGTCATTTACATCAGACAACCGCAGAAATGATAAAACATCTGTCTCGGAACTTTTTGACCGGCCCAGTTGTACAACATCACCGGGGGAGGAGGTGGGGTACATGAGGGCAGGAGAAGCATCTACAAACACACACCACTGTCTGTGTTTGACTAAAAACAAACACATTCACACCCAGAATACAGAGCAATAAACACCTGAAACCTGCATCAGTGTAACAGCGACACCTGCCTTAGTTTCAGGAGAAGGAACATTTTTCTGTGCAAACATGTTCCTTCCATGTGCAGCCCAGCATTTCATTCACTCACTCACTCACTCGTTCATTAATTTGTTAAGTGCTCAACCACGATACTCACTGACCATCGCCCTCAGACAAACTTATAACAAAGGAAACCTTCTACTTAGAGAGGGTCAGACGCCTGGTTGTGTGTGTGGAGAGCGATGTTCAGAAAAGGCACCAGACTTGCACAGTGAGGCCGAAGCTTCTGGCTGTGAACCACTCCTGTGCTTCGAAGTTTAAAAATTACAGGGCGAGAGGACGGGGTATGTCATAAAGTTGTTAGTGCGGAAATAAGAGGAGGGACTGGGGACGTGTGGAGGTCGGAAGGTCATCCTCAGGTTAGCATGGGAACGTCTTCCTCCTCTGAGGTGGTGTCCTCTGACAGAGGGATGAGAAGAACCTCGTCGTCCGAGGAGGATGAGGAGAAAGACGGCGAGGTGGAGAGAGGCATAGAGTTGGTGGAAGAGGAGGAGGAGGAAGAAGAAGGCGAGCCTCTGAAGAGGGAGATGCTCAGGCCGAGGGTGTGGAAGATTGAGGCCAGAGAAGGGCTGCTGGGAGGCACGGTGACTGGAGGAGTGAGTGGAGGAGCCGGAGGAGCGTACGGAGGTGGAGGTGGAGAAGGAACAGCAGGTGGCGGTGCAGGCGCAGGTGGAGGAGATTGTTGATGCTGCTGCCGTTGCTCAGACTGAGCCAACAAACCCAGTTTCTGAGGCACCGGCTGGTTGACGGCTTCAACTGCGGACGAGGAAGAGCTGGAAGGAATGGAGCGTACTGGCTCCTGACCGGAGGAGGTGGGGTCTGACTGCTGCTGGTTGGAGCTGGAGGTTTGTGTCGACCTGGAGGAGGGAGCTCTAGGGATGAGACCCCATCTCCTCATTCTACGCACAGCCCGGCGGACGAACCGTGGTCTGCGTCTGCGATGCGGGGAGTTGGCGGCATCCTGACGGAGGAGCTGGAGGATTCCTCTCAGGGAGAGGGAGGAGCTCTGGGAGGAGGACGGACAGAAATAGATCATTTTTCTTCAAAAAGAAAACAAGTCAAAGTTTTATTTTTTTTAAATAACTTTACCAATAGCCACACCACATTTTCAGCTAACACTTAACTATCCTTTAGGCTAACAAATATGATTTTCTAATGTTCATGCTAATTTTCATCCAATGATTTTCTAATGTTCATGCTAATTTTAAGAAATATGAAAATAATGTGATGAAGAAGGCAACAGTGGCTCCACGCTGCCGGTGTCCTAGAGATAAAACAGCAGCTTTTCTCTATGGGGTAAAGGTACAACAGGAGAGAACTTTGATTTCAAATCTGCAGAGCTTTAATCTCTTATTTTCTGGTACTTTGAGGTTCTGGAGAAGACAGAAGCTTTTCTCATGAACAAGAATCAAGGTTGAGAAAAACATGTTTTCATAAAAGGGCACTAAAAATACACAACGCCCCCTGTTTGTTAACACAATTCAGTGTTGGAAATACAATTTATTGACCTTACCTATAATTACAGTTAGAGCAAGTTTTTTTCTGGTTTTGGTTCTAGTTTATTTTTTGCTATTACTTCAAACCTTGAAACCACAACATTGAAACTCAAGCACTTTTAAGGATTTAAAAAACAAAAAGCCTGTTATTCGTTCCACAGTGGGGAAATTCAACCCACTCAGGCTGCCACAGGAGGCGCCACTAGGAGGTTGAAGATCACTAACTATGTTAACTAAGGAAGCAACACAGTGAGACGAGGTCGACTCATTACCTCGTTGGGGTTTTCTGTGGGAAAGTCTTCCACTGGAGGGATGATGCCCTGAGCGATCAGCTGACCATAGGAGGGAGGGGCCTGCTGCTGGATTAGCTCCGCCTCCTGACGGCTGATTGGAGCAAACAGACTGCAAGAAAACACGCGCACATACACATGAATATGTTCACACCCAGACCACTGTTTTGACCAGAGCCACACTGACGCTGAAAAACAGCTTGTTTACAACAACAACAACAACAATAACTGCAGCCTGCTAATTAGTGAGTACTGTGTCTACACTGAGGTCAGACCTCATGTAGTGGGAGGTCCTCGGGTCTCTGTTTGTGAAGTAAGCCAATTCAGAAAGAGTTCTGGTGCTTTTCTCTCAGGAACCATTTCAATTTTTACATTAAAAAATCTGTGAATTGACTGTGGTAAAATTTTCTGTCAAGAATTATTATGAGTTCCTCCACATTTTCATTTCATTCAAAGTAATATCCAGGTTCATGATTCAAATGTCCCTGTGGTTCAGACTGTCTCTAGTTTAACTCAAGTCCAACCCTGGTACCAGACTTCATCAGGGACTCAAACTGACCTCACATGGAGCTTCACCCAAACGTTTTTACTGTGACTCGACAAAAGGGGACTGGACTAGTTCCTCAGTGACACTTCCTGTGACCATATTTAATGATGACTAATCATCATGATTAATCAACTGGACTGAGGAAAGTCTTTCTGATTAACCTACCTGTACTCTCTAGTCCTGAGTGAGTACAGTTTACAGGTGCAGCCCATGGCGATGACCAGCAGGAGTCCACACACCAGACTGCCAACCGTCGCAGCAGTGATGACCTTCCGGGGCAGGACAACGGTGCAGTTGAGTTCGTCCGTGCCATCTTTGCAGTCCACCTGGCCGTCACAGCGCCAGCTCTCAAACAGACACCTGTACAGGACGGGACAAAGGACCAGTGGTGTGTAAAGAAGAAAAGACAGTATGGTAAAAAAGGAAGAAAAACACTGTTTTCAGCAGTGACAGTCTGAAGTCCAATCAAAAATATAAAGGTGATAATTATTCATGGCTACAATGGCACACATCAGAGATCTGGTTTGATTCAACAAACAGGTGACCTCTAGTCAGTTAGTTTTTAGATTTAACTAAATGTTCATGAATGATTCAATATTTCCCAGCCCATGACACATGATTTGTCATGTGATCTGAAGTTAAAATGTGATAAAATTACTGACCTGTCACTGTCGCAGTGGAACGTCCCCGGCTGACACGTGCTGCAGTCCCTCTCGTCGCTGCCGTCAGTGCAGTACAGCTGGTAGTTGCATCGCTCTTTCACAGGGTAACACAGAGGTCTGCCGGCAAAGTGGCCCGTCGCCAGCATCCTCGGACCCACCGCCCCACAGGCGAACTGGTTTGGACCGCAGCCCCTGCACCCCTCCTCGTCCTTCCCCGTCTCAGGACAGTCCCATTTTCCATCGCAGCGTTGCTCCTGTGTGAAGCACCCGCCCGACGTTCCCCCACAACGACCTTCCCAAGGGGGGCAGTAGCTTCCCACATGAAAGGTTGCATTGAAACCATTTCCCTTCGAGCCTGGCAGGGTCTCGTACTTCAGAGAGAGGAGGCCGGTGGAGGATTCCAGCTGGATTGGTTTGTAATTGGAGGTACTGGTGATCTGTCAGAGGAGAGAACCAGGTCAACATAACTTTTTGCAAACACAAAATGTCTCTCAAGAAATACAATTTTTGAGATCTGACTGTAGACAAATATACATCACAAATATATGTCATCTTATGTTTTTGAAAATCTCCCAGATAATTCATCATGTCCACTTCATATTTGGTTACTTGGATGTATTTTATCATGTGTTTGACTCAGTATCAGCTGATCGGCTTCAAAATCTGATGTCTCACCACATTTATAGAGCTGAAATTTAACTGAAAATCTGTGAACGTGCATCTGAACTGACGGGACTTTAGTTAAACAGTTAAGATGACAGTCAAATAGAACTGAATGAACAAGGGCAAAATTCCAAACTCACAATTTTCAGAATGTCTCCTTTTCCCTGCTGCCTGTTGTAGATTGTCAGTTTGTCCCCAGACCCCAGGACCAGCTGCTGCAGGTCCAGTCTGAGAGGCCTAGAATCTTGAGGATCCAGAGTCCAGACACAATTCAGAGCAGGACCCCGTTGGGAGGGAGGAGAGAAGGTCCCATAAAAGTTCTGGAGCAGTCCGCCACAAGGCCACTCGATGGGGACTGGTGTCACCGACGGAGGTTTTTGAGTCTGCTCTTGATCCTCCTGGGACTCTTCGTCCTCCTCCTCCTCCTGCTGCTGCTCTTCCTCCCTCTTCAGCAGGGCCAACAGATCATCTACCTCAGAAGACCGATCAGAACTCAGTGGTTTATTGAGGTGCACGCTTCTCTCCAAGTCCCTAATGTCGGTTTTCTCTGTGTGGGTTTCCTCTTTTGCCTGAGTCGCCTGTGAGCTGGTGTGTTTGAATGGAGATGGAGTTTCCTCTTCTACGTAGCAGCCTTGCTCATCTGACCCAAGCCCAGGACCGAGACACTCCACTTGGCCATTGCAGCGCCAGGACAGAGGAATGCAACGCCCCCCCGGGCATAGGAATGATGATGAAGGACAGTCTCCTGAGTCTAAGAGTGGAGACAAATGTTATCATCTCTGTTTGGAAAAACTGTAGAAAAGAAAACATTTGACCAACTTACCTCTGGCGTAACTCAAGAGAAACGATGACACCGGGAACAGATGAGGGAGGAAGTGGTGTATCACAGTGATGTTTCCTGAAGGAAACTCCATGGGTGGCGGCAACTTGGACCCACAAAGCACAACTGGGTCACCGCCGGCAGACGACTTTATGGACAACCATTCCTTCTTACAACGTGCCGAAAACTGGGAAAAACTTAAGAAAAAAAGGGATTAATTTGATTTTCATTCGAAGAAATTCTGTCTTGCTGTTATGCAAGCTTCAGTTTACCTGAGAACGACGGGTTTATCTTCAACACCTTTGATGACCCAGCAGTCATAGGTAGAGCCAAAGCGGTAGGACCAGCTGTGGTAAGCAGAACTCCGGATCTCTCCTACCTGGGAGTCCAAGATTTGGAGGCTGTGTCCACAACGAACTAAACAACAGCCACAATATCCAAGGAAACAATTTAAATTTTTATGTCAAATGTTAAAACTGCACAGATGTTTATGTTCACAGTAGAGTAAAAAACCTTCAGTGTCAGCACACATAAGACTAAGAGACTGGTGCAGAAAGTTAGCGCACTTCCTGAACACGGAAGTAAATGGGTACTAAAAGACCAAATATTTGATATACCGTACTTTAAATTCTGTACATTATCAAAAACTTTTGGAGCGACACATGGAGCGACGCATCTGCCAATGCAGATATTTTAAATAACAATATCCAATAACACATTTTTTTTAAAACCCAATAACATTATATAAAAATGTTTCTTTACCTGAGCTGTGGACAGGGTTAAAAAGGCAGCAAACTAAAAAAAAGAAAAACAAGAGAAATCAATCTCAAAGTCACATTATCAGGAAACAGCCATAAAATGTGCAAATGTGACCTTTGCTTGATAAACATTTCAAGTACAGGAAACAGGGGTAGAGTGAATGTGTTCGCTCACCTGCTGCGGTAAAAACCAAGAAGTTGTATTTATATGTCATGGTGGCAAAATGATTCCACTAAACTAAAGTCAAACTAAAATAAAAAAAAAAAATTAAAAATAAAAATAAAATGTCAAGGGATCAACATCTTGACTTTGGATTAGGAAGACTCTACCTGCAAAACAGCAAAAATAAAAATAAATAAATGACTTGTAGAAATGAATTTTGTTACACTCGGTGAATAATGACTTGTTTGTTGAACTGATGCTTAAGTAGTCCATGAAACACGTGACACACAGATACACCTATTAAAAAAACAAGTAGTTTGACAAGTCAATTAAACCGTTTGATATACCAATCATCATAACATGACAGATGTGCAAATACAGCACGTGAGGATACCATGGTAACAAGTGGACAACTTCAACAATAAGTATTTGTACTTAGATTCTTAGGTCTTAAATAACAAAAAAATACATATGTAAAATGAAATGTGACTCAGTAGAAAACTTACACCACTCTCAACTTTTGGTTGGGTAACAGTTATTGTTAAAAGTAAAAAATACTGTGTTTGTCGTTATTGTCATTTGTCATACTGTAACTACTGTAATTAATGGCCTCATAAAATATAACGAGCTGATAGTGCCGTTTTTACTCAACACAAATATATTAGTTGGGGAAAATAAAAGTTATTATTTGACGACAAGTCGCCATTTATGCTTTTTATTTACTGTGGGACCGCTAAGATAACATTTTTATAAAATACACAAAAAATGATTTCCTTCCGTCTACTTTTCTCAACAATGACGACACGACTGGATCGCCACCATTACCGAGCTGAAAATAAAATTAACCCCGGTTATAATATGGGAACTTTGGAGGTCTCTGGTTCAAATGAGAATGATCGCGTATGTCAACCACGATAAACTTTTACATGGTGTCCTTGACGAAAGTTAGTTTCTCTTTGGAGTATAGCTTAATCAGCGTGCTAACAGCTAACATCCTCTTTTCCTGTCTTCGATAAGTCCTAGTCTTCTCGACTGCGACATCGAACAAACTGAGCTTTACATGCCGCGTTTATCATAATCACAACTAAATTAACAACTAGAGTGCGACCAAAACAACATCAGAAGTCAAAGAAACGAATAAAATCAAGGGTAAAAGAGAGAACATTACCATCTCGGTCGGCCCGTTGTTGACAAGTCCCAAGCTACTTCCGGGTATTTGGGAGCCTGACGCTTGGGGGTGTGGTCTGTGATGTCACGTTGTTTTGTTTTTGTTTTTTAATCCTTTCATTCATAAAAGTAGTTGAAATTTGACTTAAAATAGAGTTTTCGCCTTACGACTCATATTTATACTGTACATGTGGATATAAAATGTCCAGCTGCCAAATGTGAACCGTTTAGTTTTTAACACAGGGTGTCAGTAAGGTGTGAGGGACAGCACAGCATTTGGACTTTTTCGGTGATCCACCAAAATGGTGGTGAAGTCCCTTATTCTACTATTTTAAATGTTCAGTCTGTACAGACACTTAATGTCACCACTGTTGCGGTGGCAGCGGTGTGTGGTTTGTTTATTATCACCATTAAATTATAACCCGAGTTTTCCGTTTTCAATTCAAGCAATTATTAAATATATATTTATTTTTATGAACTGAACATACTTTATATAGACATGATATGTTGATTAAATAGTTGTAGCGGGCACAATATGATTCAATACTTGTATTGTAAAGATTTATTCTAAAAAAGTATTCATTTTAATTGATCAAGACCTACCTATTGGGTACCTCGTTTCTAAACTAACAGTACACATCTCTAGTACACCAGGATATCAGTGTTGAACATCACGTTCCACTTGTATTGATTATTTTCCGGGGACATTATATTTATGTTCAATTTTTGTTTTAATAAAAATAATGATCTTTCATTAGTTTATTTGTTGGTCAAAAAGAAATGAAATCTCTCCAACCAAATAAATTCGATTTATCACATTAACTGGGTTAACCTGGATTAACGTGTTGCTGTTTAGTTGTCCTATGTTGTGATTTTCCCGTTCAGTTCCAACAGAACCCTGAGATGGATGGATATAATCCCTCTTATCTCTATTGTGAACGTTCATGTGCAGTGAATTTCTGCCTTTGTGTTTTTGGTTCATAGTACCATTATCCACGGCAAATGTGAGAAATTAGACAAGAGTAAAGAGAGTTTTCTCCTACTGACAGAACTCTGTGGGCTGAAAGAAAAAGATGAACAGAACAAGTTTTACCGCAAAGTTGAAGATACGCTAATAAATGAATAATGTTTAAATATGGTTCCTATCTTGGCCACCGAGAACTTGTCTGTGGAGTCAACGCCACTGATGTGTGCACATCTGGAGGAGTCTCGTCTCTCTCTCTCTCTCTCTCTCTCTCTCTCTCTCTCTCTCACCCTCCCTGTCCCTCCCTCTCTCAGTCCTGGTCTCTGTCGTCCCCCCTTTTCTCTCCACGTCCACATTCTGCACAGAGACAAACAGAGGTTGTTGGTGGAACACAGGTCACTGGTGAATTCAGACGTCCTTCCTTTTTGTTTCTTTCTTGTGTCCAGCTCCGCGGCAGCTGCAGAAGTTTACTCTTCTGAGTGCTCACACGCACCGTCACTGGGACCGTGTTCATGCGGACAGGACGCACTTTTCTGCCACGTTTTTAAAACATAAAACACAAGGAAATCGTTGAAGACGTCGGAGGTGCGCTGAGCTTTTATTCCCCGGTAGTTTCTGTGCTGCTGTAGACTCAGCGAGTTGTTAAGCTCCTGAAGAGAGGACTTTTGTCAGAGTTTTTTGTGGAGAGAAAAGCAGAATGCTGCTCCAGCTCTTCACCCTGGCCTCAGCTCTCTGCTGCTTCACCTCCGTCTCTGCAAATGTTCTAAAAGCTCAGGTAGGTTTTTATTTCACTTTACACAGTGTTTATCTACAAACATGTTCATAAAAGTTACGTGACACTGTTTCAGTAGACGTGCTTGTAACTTAGCAACTTTCAGATGGAAAATCGATTAAAAAAACCCCAAACATTTAATCGTGAAAACATTCATTTTTATTGTTCTATTTTTCTTTTCTTTTTTTCTTATTGGTGGCAGTTAGAAACAAAAGATACCCAAAAAAATGTGTTTGAGCAATGTTTCTCAAGTGGTGGTTGGTGACCTGAAAGTATGTCAGGGTCTGAACTCCTAGATATCTATACCTATATATCTCTCTCTATATATAGATATAGATATATATATCTATATCTATCTATCTATCTATCTATCTATCTATCTATCTATCTATCTATCTATCTATCTATCTATCTATCTATCTATCTATCTATCTATCTATCTATCTATCTATCTATCTCTCTATCTATCTATCTATCTATATATGTATATATATATATACATATATATATATATATAGAGAGAGAGAGAGAGAGAGAGAGAGATATCTACACTAGATATCTCTAGTAAGTTAGTCCTGTCTTAGTATGAGGTAATAGTCAGTCTCTTCTCCCACCTTGTGTCTAAATGTTAACAGAGAGAGTGTTTTAGAGCGTTTGCTGCGTCACTTTGTGGGGCTGTTTTCATGCTGTTTTAGAGCGTTTGCGGCGTCACTTTGTGGGGCTGTTTTCATGCATCTTTATGTAGCGAGCTAATACGTGTATATTGTAATGACAACTGTAAATTGTTGACCCTAATAGGTGGATGTGGAATACTCAAACTACTTTATGATGTAGTAGTTTTGTCAGTTGCACTTCACCAATTGACCTGCAGTTGGCATAGTTTGGCTGTTCTGAGGAGACGGAGAAGACATAGTTTGATTTCGCCTTCACCAAAGGTTGGAGCATCATAGAGTTTTGTAGTTTGACTTTTGTCCTTAAAAACAGAAAGAGTGAAAACAATGTTGTGTGAAAATGTGTTTTCATTTGGAGTCCATCTGAGCAAAAACTGATTTAACAGACTAACTAAGAGGAAAACATGTCATGTCAAACTTCTGCAGCCTCTGAAGGGGTAGGAGAGTGGGAGGAAGGAGAGGGGGTACAGTCTGCCAAGTCTCAGCTGTGCTGCTTTGTTCAGACAGAGTGGGGGATAGTGATGGTGGTGCTGACATGGGGGAGGGGGTTGTTGCACTGTTTGGACTCCACACACAGCAGCAGCAGCAGCAGGAGCAGGAGCAGGAGCAGGCCAGGAATATGGTCTGCCAAGCTGTTGTGTTCTTGTCAGACTCAGGTCCACAGTGTGTTAAAAAGTCATCTCACTGCAGACACTGAAGTCTCATCAAAACAACACACTTGTCACTGAGTCTGGTGCAGAGTGGTAAATGAGTGGTTACGACAGTCGTGGGCGCCTGCTGTCCTGGCTCCTGTTCAGCTCACCTCACAGATAACATCAACGACAACCACGAAGTAGAGTGAGTGCACAGAAACAACCCAGCATAAGTACTTAGAGCTGGGCTGATTATATAAAGGTCACTTTTCATCCTAATGTTGAATATTGGTTTCAATCTTTAAGGTCAAAGGTTAAAGTCCATTTTAAGAGGTGAGGACTTGGAAATCTATGAGATTCAAGATCTGGAAATATCTTCAAAAAAGTCAAATGCAGAACTCAATTCATATAAGAAAATTCACCAAGAGTGCTCACCCACACCAGCCAATCAGGGCGTGGATGGTCGTACTTTTATTGTTGTTTTCAGCACAGGGAGTTGGTATGATAAACATAACTGATGTTCTTTGTTTTCTCAAAGGACTTTTCTGTTGAGGAATGAGTGGCTATTGATCAACTGAGAACTTTTATTTGGACATTTGTCACAAGAAATGGATTCACGCAGCACAAAACTGGAAATGTACATATACAGAAGTCTGTGCTACAGTGGAAGGAGAAGACAGGATGCATGATAGAAGGAAGGAGGACCTTAGTCACTGACCACAAACATGTGAGTCAGGCCAGACATGGTGGATGAAGCCAGCCAGTCAGACAGTTTATAAGACTCCACAGGCCGCTGCGCTCCTGTGGCCAACATGTCGACTCTGTGATGAATGTCTGTAAACAACACAGAGACAACAGGACTGTTTACCAGCTGCAGTGTCGTCCTCGGCAGCTGCGGGATTTCGTTGTGCTATAGTGCTAAAAATGAAGACAATGCTTCACGCCATGAAATAACAAAGATGGTCACAGGAAGTAACAGCAATGTGTCAAAGGTTAGCATTTAGCGCAAAACATGCAGAAAATAGCAAATTGTCATTTATACTGACAAATAATAAGAAAAAAGCATCACATTAAAATATATTTAGCTAAAAGATAACCACACTTCTACAGGGTAGCCTCAAATAGGATGTAGTAGAAAAAAAGAAGTAGGAAAAACATTCTAAAAAAAAATATTATCTAAGAACATTTTTCAAATATTATCGTATTAGCCAAAAGAGAAGGAAAATGCTAAATGTTTGCCAGAGGTAAGGTACAGATAAGACATTAGTAAAACTAGGAAACATTAGCTAACAGTTGGACAGAAATACTCAAGTTTATTTTAGGTAAATCTGTTGAAGGTCAGCTAACAATGCTACATGTTATTAATTATCAAACTAAATAACCACCCAGAAAAAGCTAAAACGAGCTGGAAACAGTTGAACTCCCTGCTCTGAAATATTTTGTGGAAACATAAATCATGCAGAACGTAGGAGTGTGACGCTGATGCAAAGAGAGATGATCTTTAATAACACACTTCTGGATGACATCACCCTGTGATCAGCAGACAGACTGAGACCGAGTGCAGAGAAAGTCCAACAAAGTGGATCAGCACATACAACGCAGGAGACAAATCTGACCACGTGAACAAACGTCAGCAAAGTGCACAACCGGCTGACTCGAAGAGGAATTTTGTGGTTTGTCCGGCGTTTCTCAACATCTGAACATCCCTGTCTGACTTCACCACAAACATAAAAACACCTAATTCCTAAATTTTCTGTAAAGATTGAAAAACACTTCTAGTGAAGTGGAGTGTTTTTGATTACATTCTCCTTCCTCTTTGGCCTCGTCTGACCTTTTAAGGCTTAAACAAAATAAAAATGTGGACCGTGTGAGTAAAGGAAGTGGGCAGAAAAGAAAACAACATGGTTTCAAATTTAAACAGGATCTTGCTTAGTCGATAAAACCTGTCAAAAATAAAAAATAGGGAGATTTTCCCTTCAACATCTGGAGACACATGTCTGCTGATTGTGGCTCTGGCTTCTACAGATGTGGTGAAAAGACATCTGGGTCGCATTCCTTTTTATCTAGGCTGGAGTCCTTGTTAATGCAGCATCAAAGCAGAGACTAGCTGGAGAATACTGTTGCTGTGGCAGGAGGCGGCCGTCACTTAAGAACAGTCAAACAAAGAAAGTCCAGGATCAGCTTAATGTGAAACTGATGGACTGAGAGGGAGAGAAAATGATCTTCTCTGTGTACAATAAAACAGAAAGAAGAGCTCTGAGAGACAAGATGTTGGAAAGGACTCTTCATACATTTAACTACAATATTTGTAAAACTACAACACTGATATATACTAGCATTTAATAGAAAGTCTGCTGCAAATCACAGAAATTTGTTAGCCATTAGCAATTAGTCGCTAACATCAAATCCAAACTCCTTTGTTAGCAGCCAGTGGGTAGAAGTAGGAGTGCAACTGCAATTTTTGGGCCAATTCTGATTTATGATTTTTGCGTGACTGATTTTTGTCTAACCGATTTTTGGCGATTCCATTTTTTTTTTCGATTGACAGCATTCAGATATAATAAAAGGCTAACGCAAGAAGCCTATGGTTAGTGGTAACCGCTACATTAGCTCTTTCTAGCCACACTGACTGGTTAACTGGTTAACCGTGGGTTATTGTGGGTGGCTGAACAGTCAGCCTCGAAGTGATAACTCCCAAACAGTTGAACCAATGTTATAATGGTACAACAAACAAAAGTCAGAGGGAATTATAATAGTAATAGTCTAGATATTAGTCGATGCTCAAGATAGTTAAACAATAAGCAAATATCTGCTGATGACATCATTGGTGGTTGTCGCGGGTGTACCTCATAAAGTGGGCAGTACATGTCTAACACGGGATGTGGTCTAACACTAAAAGAAGCCACTGACATTTATAAGATCTGACACTTTGGTGTTTGACCACCAGGCTGTAGTTGTGGGTCCTCACCGTGTCAGAGGAAGTAGGGCCTGAGGGCGATGTGAGCTTCAGACCCTTGTGAGCAGAAGTCTCTGTGTTTTTCCGTTGGCGCTGCGGCAGAGGAACATCTGACTCAGTCCCACATATTTATATTCAGTCATCGTCCAAAACCTTTCTTTTTCCCTGAGCTTTTTCTTTAGCTCTCTCCTAATGTCTTTACCTCTCCTGCTAAAGTCACTCTGCTCTTTGGATCAGCCTCTGCTCTTCTTCTCCGTCCTGTCTGCTGCTCAACTTTACTGCGGACTTTGTCAAGGATTTCCTCAGTGCTTTTACAAAGACCAAAGTCTTTTTGACGTTGTCCCCTCTGCAGGGTTGATGGACTTCTGGCACAGACCCAGCTCTGTGGTTTAATCCAAAACTGTTCTCAAGGATTGAGGTCACAGTGTTGAGCAGAGCTTTTCTACTTCTCACGTACAGAAGTGTTTATATTTTAGAAGTTGATGAAGACCACTGCTCTGAGCCACTCTAAGATTACACACGTTGTCCTCAGCAGACTTCAGTTTGGACCGGTCTCTTCAGTTTCAGACTGGACCCAGTCTTTCACCACTGTCTATAGGTCCTGCGGGGGGAGATGGCTGTGTATCAGTGGGTAATGCTCCTGCCTTACCCCTACAGGGTTGTGGGTCTGATTCCAGACTTGGTAGACCTGTATGCCATCTCCAGATGAATGTCATCAGGACTGGAAGAGTGCTATTAAAGTGCAGACTATTTACCATTTATTAACTCCCCCATAATGCATTTCCATTTTGTGAGTGACGGCATCTGTGTTACCACAAGTAGTTTTTCTAAGTCTAGGAACTTCCGTATTGCTGAAGAAGTTTGACGTTGCCGTGGAGATGAGTCTTTTGATCTTTGTCAAACAAAAGTCTAGGTTGTTACTGACTTAAACGATTGTATATGGCCTCACTTCAACGCCTCTCTGTGGCCCAAGACGTCATCACCATCATCACCATCATCACCATCATCACCATCATCACCATCTTTGTTATCCTTCTTTAATCTCTACATTCTGTCCTGATTCCTCCCACCAGACGCCCACACCAGACTGTTTCTAACGTAATGATAGTTTGTCTTACCATGAAAAATGTTGTCATTCTTTCGCTTCTGACCACAAATCTATAAATGCTCGACGGGGCTTTTTTCTGTTGTTTTTTTTTATCTTGTTTGTAGGAAGTTTTGGTCAATGAATCCTCTTTCATACAGACCCACAGAGATAGAAAGAAATCCCAGCTCATTCTCATGTCAGTGTGAGAACAACAGCTGTGTCCTGTGATGAGGAATTTGGACCAAAACCTCAGGAAACATGCTGATCTTCTCCATTTTTTAGTTAAAGGGAGGATTTCGAAAGTCAGCAACTGACACAGAGTCATGAGTCATTTAACATGTGAGATACTTTAACACGGTCTTGTTTTTATTACATTGGACATCAATTTGGAAACACGGAGGATGGATTAATTTGTCCAAAGATGTGTTTTTTCCATTCCATTTGATCTAAAATACTAAGTGGAAAAAAACTGTTTGTAAAATGTGAGAAAACTGGACAGAAGTTCAGCTGAAGAAGAAGAAGTCAGTTTTTAGAATTGTAAGAGAGTTCATCTTTTTTAAGGTGTGTTGTGGCTCTGTTAGTCACATGGTGAGCTGAGGCCAGAGAACAAGGGTCATTTATGAGGACGTGCTCCGCCCCCTATTCCTTAAATCCAGGATTATTTAAACCAGGAGTTCATTGAATTTATCTCTGACTCTCGCTGAGTCAATCTGCCTCTGACACCAGATCTCCTCCCCCCTCTGCTCCTCTCCTCTCTCTGAGAGCTGCTAGTGTGTCCAGCGGCTCCAGTGTGGTGACACGTCTGCCTCTATAAAAACATACACACACACACACACACACACACACACTGAAGACCTCCACTTCTCTCCTCTGGTACCAAACTACACCACACACCTCCACCACCGCCACCTCCGGCCGGGGGACGCCAGGTATCCCAGCATGCACCTCCTCCCCCCTGGAACTCCCAGCCGCCTGGGTCAAAGCTTCTATTTATTCCGTCCAGTACATGGTGGGTATTGTTGGCGTCAGAGCAGCGAGGTAGCTGGGCCATGTGTGGTCAAAGGGTGGGCGGCTGGGTTCAGTAAACAGACGGCTGGGTCTGTGTGCAGCAACATGAGGTCTGAATGTACAAAGCACAGACAGTGAAACCAGACCAGTGTGACGGTAGCGCAGCAGTCAGGTCTGTTACCGTGGTGACGTGAGATAAAGGTGAGGGTCCTGTGACCCAGGAGTGACCTCAGCGCTACCATTCACCAGAATTCTGACGATGAATCTCTTGGTCCTGCTTCACCGGAGACGAGATCAGTGTGGTTCAAATAAACTCTGACCGTCTTCAGGCTCCAACACTGAAAAAGCCACAGACTTGATGGGATTATATTTAACGTCATCCTCCACGGTGACATATCCACATCCACACATGGCCATGGACCTAATGTCTGTCATCACAGTTTGAAGTTTTTCTTCTCTATCAGAGCAACGTGATAGAAGAAAGCCTGACTTATTAAATCCTAGGTCTGAAGGAGTTCTAAATCTGAAACCAGAGTCTGGTCTGATGGTGAGGCCACTGAAACTGAAGAATTTGGGCCAATTTCATTGACTTTACATGTGGTGGAGATGGAGACATAACTGTGTGGGTGTGTGGACAGATAATTAGAAGCAGACACGTTTACATTTGTGTGAATGTCATTCCAACAAGAGTGAAAAGAAGATCTGTAGTTTGATTATGTCTGTTTGGAATTACAGCCAACTGTTAGCTTAGCACAACAGACGGGAACCAGACACAAAAAAGCTGCAGCAGTTGGGTTTTTAGGAAAGATGTTTTATTACTCATTAGTACTCATTAATCCTGTGTATTGTGTAGTATTTGTTGTGTTCATTTTCCATGGCTTTTGCTAGCTAAGCTAACTATTCTTTTAGTATAAACAAATCCATCTACTTTCTGAGTTCAGGTCATCACTGATTAACATATTTATGACTGTTGGTCTGAAATGTTTCAAATATTATTATATATTAATATTGTTGTTATTGTTTACATTTTAGAGAAATTGTACTGATGATTTTTATCTTTTGTTGCTATTTTCTGAAAATATCTTAAGCAAGTTTGTCTACTTGTGGGTGTTTATTCTGCTCTGATCTTGGCTAACATTTAGGTGCGTTTGCTTTATTGCTGAACTAATTACTATTTGTGACTACATGGGATTTTTATTTTAGCTTTTTTGCATTTTTCAAGCTTCTCTCTGGTGTTGATGCTTCAGTGTGAAATGATACATCATTGTGTGAAGATGAGTCACTGTGGAGCGGAGGTGAAGGACAGACGGAGACAGGAAGAAGTTTAGGACAGATAGGGACAGGGGGAGGTGAAGGACACGTCTGACTATGTAGGGGACGTGGGTAAATCTTTGCCAAAAACCATCTAAAATAACCTAATGATGGTATACATATGGCATATATGATATAATAATAATAATAACAATAACAGTTATTGTTACTATGTTAAAGGATTATTTTGTTGTTGTTATTGTTACTATGTTAAAGGATTATTATGTTAAAGCTCCTAATAAACAACAGTCAACAGTTTAAAAACAAGTCAAAGGTTTACAGCTGGACAAACACCTTAGTCAACAAAACACCAGGGACATGAAGTTAACCTGTGTGTGTGTGTGTGTGTGTGTTTGCAATTTGACTTATCTTCATGTCTGGACCTGCCTCTCTGCAGATGCAGGGTGAATAAATGAGGACAAAAGGAATGTGTGTGTGTGTGTGTGTGTGTGTGTTTACCCATGTTGTGGTTTGTGGGGGGGGCATTCAAATAAAAGACAGGACCTTCAAAGACTAATGTCCTCTTAGTTCCACGTGGGTTTTGTCCACCACAGCAGAAAAAGACAGCCTGCTGGATCAGAAAGAGTTTTAAAGCCTCCTCCTGTCTCCTCCTGTCAGACAGAGACAGGAGGAGGTGAATGACAAAGTGAGACAGACAGAGACAGGAGGTGAAGGACAGTCAGTTCTCATTCATTGGACTTGACTTATTCATTGCAGTTTTCACACTTTTGGTGTGAATCTTTTTTTTAATTTGTTAGCGCCGCCTAGTTGTGATCTATGCCTGTCAACATTTGATTTTGTGTTGCTGTGTGTTTGTCTCACGTTATGCTCCTCGAGAGCTTACGTTTAATAGAAGCTGCTAAAGGATCTGAATCTGGTTAAGTGGAAAAACAACTCAAGGTTTCCAGTTTCAACCCTGGTTTTCTAGGGTTTTCTTTTCTATTCTCACATGTCATTCTTTGAAAACATACTTTTTATTTCATTGATGGAAACTGTGATGCCATGAAAACTATGATTCTTCCATAGAAGTGTGCTTTTGTTAGTCACATCCTCGTTTATGATGCACTCACTTCCTGTTCTGTATGTTCTGTTCCGTTCTGTTTCTTTTGAAGAACCAAAAAATTAAAGTTCTGCTAAAGTACTGAATTTAAAGTTGGTCAGCAACAATAATAAACAACACCACTGGACACTAGGGGGCCCTAAAGTGTGGTTCAGTCCAGGTGATGTGTTTTGCTTCTTTTGTGGTTCTGTGCCAGATAGAAATATCAAACCTGTATGTCTGTGTGTCTCTGCAGGCCTGGCTGCAGACCTATGGATACCTGCCTCTAGGTGACGGCAGAGCTCAGGCCATCCGCTCACCACAGACCATTGAAACTGCCATAGCAGCCATGCAGAGGTTCTATGGCTTGACCGTCACCGGCTCCATTGACACCAACACACTGGAGTGAGTCAAAGACCACTCGCTGGTCAATGTCCTGGAAATGAATCTGACTAAACGCTAAAAGTGTTATTTTTGCCTTTTTCCCAGAGCGATGAGTCGGCCACGCTGTGGAGTCCCAGACAAGTTCGGCCCGGAGCTGAAAACTAACCTGCGACGGAAGAGATATGCTGTACAGGGTCTGAAGTGGGACAAGTCTGAGATTACCTTCAGGTCAGACAACACAGTCACAGCCCTCTCACCTCAGGGCAGTCCATTAGTTTATAGGTTACGTCTCAAAATAGGTGTCATTTCACCTACTGTCAGAATTAAAGCTGTTCTTGTCATCTGTTAGCTGCCAGCAAGTTAGCATAGCTACATGATGTTCTTTTAACTGGTTATAAAAACGAGATACACACTCTCACACGTGTTGGAGCATAATTATGATACAAGTACAAACAGAATGCAGCTAGCCAACAGCTAACATTTGTTAGCCTCCAGGTTAACAAAGCCACTTTGAATCAGACTTTCACAAAAATTGTGTTTTCTGTCACACCCTTTGGTCACACTGAGTATTTCTCGACTTTTACAACAGCATACAGAACTACACGCCCAAGGTCGGGGAGCATGCCACGTATGAAGCCATCAGGAAAGCCTTTAGAGTGTGGGAGAGCGCCATCCCGCTAACCTTCAGGGAAATCCCCTACAGCCAGATCAGAGGCAAAGTGGACAAGTACGCCGACATCATGCTGTCCTTCGCAGATGGGTTCCATGGAGACAGCACGCCCTTTGACGGCGAGGGCGGATTCCTGGCTCATGCCTATTTTCCTGGAAATGGAATTGGCGGCGATACGCACTTTGATCTCGCCGAGCCGTGGACCACTGGAAACGTTGACCAAGGAGGTAAAAAAAAAAAATTAAACACATTTTTGCCACAATTAAATCATCTTTTAGCCGATTGTTAGCTTTTTCTGGGCTGAACCTTTGTGATATTCAAAGCTAACATTAAGCTAGTTTTCCATATTTACTGCTAATCCTTTTCTTTAGCTTTCACATATTTTCAAATGTTTTTTTTAATATTTCATTTCACTTTTTTTCTCTCGTCTCCAAAGGGAATGATGTTTTCCTGGTTGCGGTCCATGAGCTGGGTCATGCTCTGGGTCTGGAGCACTCCAACCACCCGTCCGCCATCATGGCCCCCTTTTACCAATGGTTTGAAACAGAAAACTTCCAACTCCCAGACGACGACCGCAGAGGGATTCAGGCCATTTACGGTAGGCTGATTGTCAACGACCTGTTAAGCTTTAACTGAAATCATCAGCTAAATATCTAACTTCATTTCTTTGTCTTTCACTACAGGAACCAAGTCTGGTGCTCCTCCACCGCCTCCTCCTCGGCCCACTAGGCCGTCTGTCCCTGACCAGCCAGATCATGGCCCAGACGTCTGTGAGGGACACTTTGACACCATTGCCATCTTGCGGGGGGAGAAGTTTGTGTTCAAGGTAGAATAGATGTTTTTTTTTCAAACCAAATCCATCTTCTCCAGCATCTTCTAAAGAAGCGGCAGCATTGATTTCCGTATTTTTTGATGTTGTGTTTCAGGACAACTGGTTCTGGCGTGTTCGTAACAACAAAGTTCTTCCAGGGTACCCTATGACCATCAGCCACTTCTGGAAGGGCCTGCCTTCAAACATCAACGCCGCCTATGAGAGGGATGATGGGAAGTTTGTCTTTTTCAAGGGTAGGTTGCAGACATCACTGCAGCAGAGATAGAGATGAGATGTTTGGCTCCATTAGTCACAATCTGACTCCGTCTCCAGGGGACAGGTACTGGGTTTTCTCTGAGGCCAGCATGGATAAGGATTCCCCGAAGAGCCTGAAGGACCTGGGTACTGGTTTACCCAGAGACAAGCTGGATGCTGCTCTTTACTACACTCCAACAGGACAGACTTACTTCTTCAGAGGCAACAAGTGAGTCAACACAGTTCATTTGTTAACAGCTAAGACCACTAACACCTCACAACATGTATGTTGTGGAACACGTCTGTGTCGGTGTTCTGATGACAGTGGCAGCTGGGCCACGTGTGGGCTGTTGCAGCAGCAGATGTTGAGAAACCACAGTTTTTTTCCATCTTTTTATCTTGGTTTTCGGGCAGCATTCTTGCGGGGATTTAATCCTTTCCTTGTCTTTGCTGTTTGTGCC